TGAATTATCAGAACACTGAAACAGGCTCGCTCATTTGTTCAGAAGGCCTCAACGATCCCATTTTGCGAATATCGCAACGCTACCAGCCGCACAGATGTCAAGTTCTATAAGTGGTTTCTCATGCCCTTTCTCATGCAACTGACCTTTCCAAAACACCAATATGCCTGTTATTTTTGTTTGAACATCTTACCATATTTACTCGCGTAATCCTCGCTCTCGCATACTGTAATTACTCGAATCTAACGCGCACCTTTTTTTCGGTTAAGCGAGTTCATAAATCGCATGCGCTTTAGAATCGAGTACGAAAAAAAATGAATTCAGTCATTCCATTGCCATCGGCATTTTCAAAATAGCCGCCCCCTACGTGGGTCGGCATGGCGCGGCAGCCATTTCTGCCTATGTGTTTCCCATTTGCGGCACTTCGTATGTGTGCTGAGGAGTTCGTCATCTTGTAGTCCATTAGCATCGACGTTATGGAAGGGCCGACTCCTAAAACTCGAGTGCACCACGATGCCGCTTTTAAAAGAAAAGTCATCGCGTGTGCAGAAACGGGCGGAAATCGGGCCGCATCGCGGTCGTTCGGAGTTACAAAAACGTGCGTGCGGGACTGGCGGAAACAAAAGCAGAAGATTGTGTACCGTAATTACTCGAATCTAACGCGCACCTTTTTTCCGGTCAAGCGAGTTCATAAATCGCATGCGCGTTAGAATCGAGCACGAACAAAAAAATTACGCCCAATCTATTGCCATCGGCAAATCTAAAATGGCCGCCCCCTACGTGCGTCGGCATGGCGCGTTTTCCATTTCTGCCTATGTGTTTCTCATGTGCGGCACTTCGTACGTGTGCTGAGGAGTTCGTCATCTAGTAGTGCATTAGCATCGACAGCGTGGAATGGCCGACTCCAAAAACTCGAGTGCACCACGATGCCGCTTTTAAAAAAAAAGTCATCGCGTGTGCAGAAACGGACGGAAATCGGGCCGCATCGCGGTCGTTCGGAGTTCCCGAAACGTGCGTGCGGGACCGGCGGAAACAAAAGCAGAAGATTTTCGACAGCAAAGCTTTACGCAAAGGCTTCAGTGGACCACAGCAGGTCCGTTTCCGCTTATTGAAGAGCTGCTCGGCGAGTATGTGCTTAAGCAGCGAGCGGCCCGTGGCGACAGAACTGCTCCAAGTGCGGGCTATGCAGTTAGCCTTAGAAAAAGGGCTAATGCGGAGCCAGTTGAAAGCGAGCAGGTGCTGGCTAACTAGATTTATGAAGAGAAAAGGCTTTTTCCCTCCGAAAGGGAACGGGCATATGCGAAAAGCTTCTGGAGGAGTACGATGAAAAGCTTCACAGTTTTCATAGGTTCGTCCTGAACTTGCGGCACAACAACGGCTACCTGCTTGGGCAAATCGGGAATGCCAATCAGACGCCTCTTTACTTCGACATGCCTGGCACCACAATCGTCGAGAAGAAGGGAACAAAGCAAGTTCGCGTGCTGACATCGATCCACGGTAAAACTACAGTGACGGCAATGCTCTGTTACACGTCAGATGGGCACAAGCTTCCGCTGTACCTCATATTTTAATGGAAGACGCTTCCGAAAGGAGTCGTTTTTTCGAGCGGTGTGATCATGCGGGCCAACGAGTAAAATGGGTGCGCGTTGCAATCGATGTCTTATTTTTCATTTCTCTTTTTTCGTCGTGGAAACCGGGTGCGCGTTACAATCGAGGGCGCGGTAGAATCGAGTAAATATGGTAATTCTTGCACCCCCCACATCGCCCAACAAAAATACGATTTCTTTTTTTCCTTGAGTAATTATCGCACCTCCGAAAACTGCCGCAATAAAGTCGTCTGCTCTTTCCAGCCAAAGATGGTGATAGCGCGCGCCATCTCTTAAAGCATCAAGCGTACTATAGCGCCGGTTTTCAATCCAAGCCAAGCCAAAGTGGCAAGTGAGCACTGCGGCGTGTTTACTATGTTGTGTCAGTAATCTTGTCACGTTATGGGGCGATACTGAAGCTACACGGCTGCTTTCAAGTTGAAAATGATAGATCATGCACTAAACGACGGCAACAGGGTCGCCGGTAGGCCCCTCGGATTTTACGAGTTTTGTGTTCGCTACGGGTGACGGCAGCTGAAAGCCACCAAAACGCATTGGGCCTGCCGTATGCCTAAAACTGGGATTGATGATAAACTTTATTTCTTCAGAAGGAAAATGCGGACGATATGAGCGACGAACACTACCACTACGCCCGCAACGCCCACAAGCTTTGTGTATGGCATTCTAATTCTCGGCTATTTGCTTCCACTTTTTGTGTCTCGAATAAATCTTGCCTTGTGTAGAACCTCTGCTTTTATTGTTGAGGTAAGTTTTAATTAGTACTTATTAGGCTTGCTGTTAATTGCTGGTGTGAGAATCCCGATTTGCGACCACTTCGTTTTCTTTTTCGCTCTGTACGTTTTCGTGGAAAGTTTTCCCCGCGTAATTCTCGCACACCCCAACTTTGCATCGGTTTTCCGGCAAAAAAAGTGCGAGGATTATGCGAGTAAATACGGTATTAAAGGGGTCTGGCAACATCTTTTAAGCTTGGTGAGAGAGAACGCTACCAAGTGGCAATTGAAGCTCTCAAAGACATGCGAGCCAAATATTATGGCGCAGCACGCAGCCAGGAATTCAACACAAACACTCAGTAAACTAAAAATCACTCTCCCTTCTCTTGACAAATGATGCAAATAATCATTGCGTCAAAGGCACTAGTATCATGCCATGGGCTGATTTGAGCATGGCATGATAGGGAGTTGCTGGGGTCGCCGCAGAAGATTGCAACGTGTCCGTGCGATCGCACTGAAAAGTCGAGCTTCAAAAGAAAAAAAGAGAGAGAGAGAGAGAGAACCATAGGTCTAGAGGCGCGAGTGGTGTGCCTTCTTCCCCGGATCCACCTCTCCCCTCTTTAGCTTTCAAAACTTTTGTTGGGACAAGAGAAGAGAAAAAGCTATTCCAGCGTGCGACATATCTATGCAGCGCCGCTCATACTCGACAGATTCTAAATATTTTTGCGGCAGTGAATTCACGAGGCAATAAGCTTCATAAGAGAATCCACTCTGTCATTAGAGAATCCATTTCGTGGCTACTTGGAGAAGTGTTGCAGGGCCTTTTCAAGTTGTTTATATGTTATTTTAGGTAAATTTATTTGGTTTTCAAAAAGTCCCAGAGACACCTTTCTTAGTTATAAAGGAACAGTCTTACTGCTTCACAAAACACAAGCCACAAAAATTTTTTAAGTCCATCTAGTATGAGCAGAAAACAAGCACTTGTCACATGCTTCAAATGCTTTCTTTTCGTAGCAGCGAGCACCCTGAAAGTTACAAAAGGTGAGGGGATGACAAGGGGGCAAGAAGATGCATCCCTTCGTTACCGCACATGACCTTGAGCACTTCTGTGTTTTTTGTTTGTTTTTTTTTTTTTCCCCCATCAAACATGCAGTTTGCTATCAGTGACCTCAAGCAGGCCCGTTCCAGCACCCTGTGGCAGCCACAATAGCTCTGCTGCTCACAATCAGGGTTGCCGTTGGGTGGAATGGAAAAAGTGCCAGAACTCAAGACTAATGTAGCCCAAGTAGCCATGTCATTTAATATCGCCAAATTCGGAGCTGAACAGAACAGCAATGGTATTATGAACAGAGTCTTTACTATTGATGAATAAATAAAGCCACTTTGAGAAAGTAAAACCAGAAGTTTAAAAAGTAACTATAAAAGAGCAATGGCACTTGCTGGATATTTTCGTCGCCGAATGGGTCAAGAAGTAGCCAACTTGACGCAAAGTAGCCACAAAAGACAACCCAGCTCACAGTGCTCCGTGAACTTTCAGATATTGTGCAGTAATTTGTGTATATGCCATCATTTATACAGAGAAGTGAAGTTGATTTCAGGCTGAATTTCAGAATTATTTGTCAGTTCTAAGCCACTAGCTGTGCTATGATATTTGCTTCTGGTGTTCCTAGGAGCCTTGACAGCCAGTCATCAGTTTTTCCTGACCATGATCGAATAGTACTGTGGGGCCCTTTAGCATGATTATAGTAAAACCATCAAAACAATTTTGCAACCATGGTTGCAACTTGATTAAGAGTGGCTGAAACAATCGGCAAAGAGACTTAAAGGACCCCAAACCACCCAGCGGTCGAAATTTACTTGAGGTGAGGAAGTTGTGCTCGAGTTACCAACAAACACGTAGCCATGAGAATTTTTCTAAATGGTTACGTGTTCATTTGACGATCGAAACGGGACGATCGCTTCTTTCCCTCTTTCCTACGCTACCCTCTTCCAAATCGCTTGGCACCTTCTCCCTGAGTCAGCTGAGTGCCCCTTCTCATCTCACGTGGCATATGTCACTGCTGACGCGCTGTTCGAGACGTCTACTTCCGGTTGCCGCGATCCGCCACTCAGATGACCCAGCTCGCCGTCAACTGTGTTGTGTACGTCATCTGTATCCACTGATCGTTAACTAACCGTCGTTGCTGTCGTGCCGGCCCGTGCCCCTACGAATCGTGGCGGTATGGACCCTGTGTTGTGTTACGGGCCGCAGATATCGATTCGCAAGCATCAACACGATCAAGAACAGCAAGGTGCGTGTGAACAGCTGTTTGCAGAGTGACCAGAAGACGTCGGTTGTCATTCCGCCAATCGCAAGCATCGAAAATGGTAACGTCATCGAGTTTCACAGGTGATGTCACACATGTCAGTGGCAGCAATGGCAGAGACCGGAAAGAAGAAACTATTGTTTTTTCGAAATTGCGGCACGCCCGCAAGCTTTAGCGCTGCGGTGTGTGGCATCATTGATTGCAATGGCATTCTGCACGCGATGCGCTTGTTTACTTGAAATATTTGGGAAAATATCGGAGGAGATGTAGGGGCCCTTTAAGGCAGTATTCAATTGAATCGCCCTTCATAGCTGCCGGAGCATGTGACATCTACAAAAAAAAAAACAGGAAAAAAAAACTTAAGATCCAAGATCACTCACCAGTTTGTACGTGTGACTGTGTGATCCACGGTTGTCCCTGGCATTGGGTTGTCCAAGTCTTTTGTATTCTGTAAGATAGGGGGAATAGGGTGAAGTGGAGGGTATACATTGCAGGAGAATTGGCCACAATGTTATAAACATTAAACAATGCTATAAACATTATTATCAGTTCAATTCCTAAGCACCTTTGATTTCTTGGTTTTCAAAGAAGGATACCACCTTGTCAACTGCCAATGCATGTCTGCCAAGCAAGCTTACGTGCAATCAGAAAGCTTTGATGAAATTAGGGCTCCTCCCAGATGATAAAAATTGCTATGTGTCACCTTCTCAATACGACATCGCGAATTCTGAGAGCATCAGTTTTGCTCTAGCTGCAATTTATAAGTAAAGAATGTACAAAGATATGGTTATAGGTAAAGAAAGTACAGAAGGTATGGGTTAAGAAGGTATGTAATTCGTTCGTACAGAAGAAGCACCCAAAGCCAGTGCAATGGAGATTCAAGAACCCCCTACCAAGCTACAACAGCTCAGATAAGAACAAGGACTATCCAAGCCAAAATGCTACACCAACATACCAACTCCTCAGATAAGAACAAGGACTATCCAAGCCAAAATGCTACACCAACATACCAACTCGGTGATGCAGCAAAATCACGGTAGAACAAATGCCACATTAATTAACTTTTCACATTAACAAACATTTAAAAAATCCTGCACCGACTGCTAATAGTTTCAATATAAAATTGTTTCACTACTACCTACTTCTGAATTCCGAACTTTTCAAAATAACGAGTGATAATTTAGTTCCGCCTTATATTGACAACGCCTCAGTACAACGAACTCATGTTCTGAAATCTGTAGCGACCACCGGAGCGGTAAGCACACAGACGACACAGCGAACGGACGCCTTGTTCTAGGAACACTCACGACGGTGCAGAGGGAAAAAAATACTAAAGGACGGATTTCTTTTCTTTTTTTTTTTTCTTTTTTTTTTTTTTTTTTTTTTGAAACGCCGGCGTTTTAGACGCTCTGCAGGTTAACAAGCGCCGAGGCGAGAGGCAACGGCAACATGGGAGGGCAAGGTCGGCAAGGCAGAGTGGGAGTTGTCGAGCAGGAAACATGGGCGCACAAAAACCTGAGACAGCGAGAGAGCAGAAAATGAAACGCAGGGAATTTTCTTTTTTAGCTATTTATTTTCTTCGGAAGAGGCGACGACAGCCATACACTTCGGGTTTTTCTTATCTTCGTTACTTCTGCATGTGCTTCAGGAGGCATTGTTAGTCGTGTTCATCTCTTCTCGGTGATTACTTATCGCGTCCGCAAAGCAAGTCGGCGTTCGTGCTGCGGTGCTACTACGAGTTCACCTGCTTGCAACGAAAAAGCGGAAGCAGTTTTTTGCTAAGTGAGAAAGTCCATACCTGCCAAGTTCAAGGATTCTGAATCCAGGAGATTTCTGCAATGGGGGGGGCACAAAAAAGGACAAAGAAAAAAACATAGCGAAAAACAAAAAGGGGTGGGAGGGGGGTCTCAATCGCAAGCGCGAACATTAGTGTTGCAGTCTTATAGTGGCCAGGAGTAGCCGAACACACGAGGGTAGAGTTTTTGACTAAGGTGAGAGTCTCAAAGAATCAATACAACTAGCAGAATCTATTTCGGTCAAAACAACTCGCGTGCGTCTTCCTAAGACGCACGTGAACGGACAGGATGGTGCAGCTGGCTGCCGCAAAAGCGCGGGTCAAAGCTTTGCTCACTACTAGACTCTTTTGACAAGAACGCCGAAGCGTATCCAGCCTCTTTTTATTGCGATAGCATTTATATGGACAGTCCAGGCTGTTTTTTTTTTTTTTTTTTTTTTTGCAGTCGCCACCACCGTCATCCTTCACCGTATATGTATACGTATCTATATATATGAACACGAAAAAAAAAAAAGCCGCCCGTGCTCGATGCCCAGCTTGTCGCCCATCTTGTCGCGATGCCTGCTTATCTCTCAGACACCTGCTTATCTCTCACGTGTACTTTGCCCCATGGATAAGGTGAGTGGGGGTGGGGGGTAGATGCCTGTGGGGGCGTGCTTATCCTTTGGTGGGGGAATCCTGTGCCTTCCGCATTCACTGAAATGACAGCGTTAGTTGCCAGGCCCACAAAGGTCACTTTGGTCTCTGCACAGGCCCCCTTTGCGAAAACAGCGTGCTTTTCATACACAGCGAAGTATAACTACTGGGACAATTGTTAATTTGTACTCATCGGTACCTGTGATTACGCATCGTGCATCGTTTTTGTTTAAGCAGCGTGCTACGTGTCGAGTGGTAAACGTTAGTTCGCTCTCGTCCTGCGAGTATCGGTTCCGTGCGTCATTTGTGTGTGAGCAGTGCGCTGCACGTTTCGATCTGCTTGCTGTTTTGAGTGTTACATTCCAAGTTGTTGCTTTCGCATTAATTGCTTCGCCCCTGCGATGAAACCGCAACTTGTTCAAAAATTTTTTGTATTTGCTCTTTTATAAAAACCTACCGCTGCGTGTCCTCGGAGCTCGTAGATAGCTCTCCGGTCGCTGCAACCGCGGTTTTGTGAGCGGTGGTTGCGGCAAACGGCAGTTCATTTTACGATCCCCATGCGCTTGGCTGTGCACACGCCGTAAAAACTAAGTTGTTTTATGCCATCTACGATAGCATCTGCCGCAGTTCTGTCCACAGAGTTTGCGGAAAGCAGCGTCGCTTTTACTGGTTGAGCGCACACTTTCGAGGTTCTGTCAGTAGTCGCCATACATGATTTATTTAATTATACATGACTTATATACATAATCGCGTCAAGAGTGATTTCGTCCACAGCGGTTGTGACGACAATCACACGCACTGTAGTAGACAGTGCGTGCACTGGTCGCACGCGTACTTCCGAAGCTTCGAGTACGGTGCTATCGGTCTTTGCTAGACAGTTTCCGTACTAATGTTTGTATCACCCGCCGCCATTAGGAAATGTGTTCAGAACATTCGAATTGAGACCCAATAAACATAGTAAAATTTGGCTGGGGAATTTTAAGAAGTCGTATCTGCCACGATTTCACATCACCGAGATTACACTGTACGTTTAGATGAACGCCTCTTAAATTCATGTATAATAAGGTGGGGCTCAAAAAGCCTGGAGTGAATTGAGCTTCTTTTTTGTCAATGCGGCCAGATCACGCACAGGAACTTCGATTTTCGGGAGATTTTCATGACAACCGTACAACCGGAAAAAACAGTCAAAATCTGGGAGTCTCCCGGCCAATCCGTGAGACTTGGCAGGTACGGAGGTATACACGAATGAGTAATTGAACAAACAGTGCCGTGTCCAGTGACTTACGCTTACGCTTTTCCACAGGCCATCATTGTACTGCGGTGAAGCTGGCTTAGTTATGCAAGGGTTAGAACAAGGCCAAAAAATTTTCGAACCGCTACACTCTCCCCCCCCCCCCCCCTTTTTAATTTCACGATAGAATTAGGTTTAGGGCACAACTTCTCGGCTCGCTTACAAGGCGCATTTGACTAAATAAAGTAACACCGGAACGTGCCCCATGGCCCGGTGATGGCACAGCATAGCTATCGTGTGTGTTGTCGCTATGGCAACCAACCTGTCCCCCAGCAAAGCCAGCACGTCCAGTTTGTTTGCGTGCAGTAACAGTGGCATACGCTTTCAGTTTTAGCTCCTAACACGCCATGACCACGTTTGCTGACCCACGAAGTGTTGCTGGCTAAGGCAACAAGATTTCGTCCAGAAGTTGCGTCGTCTTGCAGCACTACACCATCTTGCATAGCCATCTTGCAGCACTACACCATACTGCGCGTGCGCATCTTGAACCGTGATTGGCTGTGGCCAAAGTGGCCTAAATTTCCACATGGAGAAAATCAGTCCAGGCCCAATCCAGGCAAGCAGCAGCGGACTTACTGCTTTTGCGAATAATCTGCGTCCACTTTTCAGATCTGCAGTCAGCATGAACGTGCTTTTAAGAAGGAAAGGGGGGCTTTCCCCGTAGGTCATGGAAACTTGAAATTAGCAGCCACATTAAAAGGGCCATTTGTCGGAATTTAACACTATTGCTCATGGTTATAGATTGAATCAACGATACAAGTGATACCACTGCTACAAAGGTGTCCAAGTAATCTAGCACATCTGAAATTGCAGCAGCTGAATATGCAATTAGTGACAGCACAGGCTTGTAGGGCAAAAAATACACTAGTGCAAATAGTGAATTTGAGGTCTGAAACGAATTCTAATAGTTAATGTAAGACATATCATAAAGAAATAGTATAATGAAAAAAGCATGTTTGTCATAACCTGCAAAGTATTTTTTAAAAGCTGGAACAAGTCCTGTGAGAATGCCATTTGTTTTCATCAAAGGAAGTGGAAGCCACTTTGAATAGTAGAAGATTTGACTTTTTGTAGATTGCAAGTAATAGCCTATAAAATATGCTGCTTTGAAATTTGCTACAATTAGAGCATATATGCTGGTATAACAAGCTTTTAAGCTAAAAAAAAAAAGAATCGATATGAGGGTAATATCTTTATTTAACCTCGATATGTAGTTTCACACAGTGCAGATTCCTTCTGGATATTTGTTTGCATGGCTTAGCACCACTTCACTGCAGTGAAACCCCTTTCACAAAAAGTTAAATGCAAACTAACATACACTTGGATAGGTGATTTCACAACTTAGCACCCCTCCACTGCAGTGAAACCATCTTTACAGGGTGTAAATGCCGATTATTATACATTTATTCATTTATTTTGAACGATCAGAAAATTTCAACAATTTTCATTCGATTACAAGCGAACTTAAACACTGCATTATTCGTTCGAATACTCGTAGCATTCGAATATTTGCACAAGCCTATCAAAAACATTACTGCTGCCATACTCGTTTTCAATGTTACATTCTGGATCGTCAAAACTACGATTTTGCTGATGGCTATTGGCTATCACGGCAAGTTAGAAAAAGAGTCCCATTGTATTTCTAGACTTCCAAACTCCATGTTTTTTTAAAGAATTAAGCTGTTATGAAATAAGCGAAGAGGTTTTAAAAGTACATTTCATAGGCCTAAATAGGTTCAATGTTTCCCTTTAGCATTCACTAAGTTGTTTCAACACGTACCCATGAGCACAACCCTCGAGAGGCAGTCTTCCTTACTCACCAGCTTTGTGAAGATTCGTGTGTTGATGCGCTTCTGGACAATCACTACAGCAATGGATGGATTGTAGCCTGGGCTCAAACAGGGAAAGGCGCTGATCACTTGCTCAATCTCGTACTCGTCGACATGCTTGAGCTGACCATCACCCACACCATCACGAAAGATGAAGATGCGATCTGGACGACAATGGTTCACCTCATAGTACTTCACCAGGGCCTCAAGGAGAGCCACCTTAAGGCAGTTGACAAGCTCTTTGCCTGGATCCTGGAAGGCACACTTGGAGAACCAGCGCGTCATGTTACGGTTCATGCTGGCTACTAAACCAAGCACAGACTGCCTGCCACGAGTGACGTCATGGTACACATCCACACCGACCACCATCACATTTTGCTGCAAAAAGAAAAGAATTCAGTTTAAAGGTGTTCTATGCCAAAAAGCCATTAGGCACAATGTCGTGGGGGGCCTTGACTTAATTTCGACTGTATAAGACCTTTGACCATACACCTAAATCTGAACTCTTTAGTGTTTTGTTACTTATCTTGGTCAAGATGTGGCCACTGCAACTAAGTCACTGCAGTGGCCACGGTGCACAAGTTTTAGCTTTACAGGCGCTACAAAAGTACGCAATACAGTGCAGTCTACATATAACAATGTCCAAATGCCATGGAAATCCCATCACCAATTTTTATTATACGCTGGCTGACAAAAAAACAAAGCAAGAGATGAAAACATTTATATTTGCATCCAAGTCAGGCAGTGCAACCAAGTAATACTTGTTTAAAAAGGCGTAGAAAATTCATAGTCTGTCAGCTTCAGTTGCTGCACAACTTCAGGCGCCTTCTTCATCTAAACCCGCTTTTTACAGCTTCCAAAAGCTCGTTGTGAAGACGGTTTCAGACTAGAGTCTCCAGGCATCTTGATCGCAGGCGCAAAGCATGCACAAGCACAAAAGCAGGCGCACGCAATTGAACAGAACAGCTAACGTGCAATAAAAAAAAATTTCCGCATTGGTCATGTCAGTCAATGGGAAATTTGGAGTGGCACTCTTGAAATGCGCGCTGGCCATGTCAGCCACTGAGAAACTCAATAAGACGCACTCGAAATGGGCGCCGAGTGAGAGCCAATCAACAACTCGGGAACGACCTTCAGAAAACTCGCGATGGCAGCTATTCTGCTTTTAAAACGCCATTTTGGGATGGCGCAAATTACACACAAAAGAAAGGTTCAAATCTAGTTCAAGATGGTGGCGCTCGGCCCGCTGCAACACTCATGATGCGCGCACACTAACTTTGAACAAATTTTGTTCTTATTGGGGCGTTCTACTGCTGCTGGGGTGATTTGAAGGCCAATTTAATTGCATTTCCCAACTGAATTTAGATAGCAATTTGAGAGGAGGTGCTCAGAAGTACAAACGCCTTGAAAATAGGTTTTGTGAAAAATTCATTTTTTTTTTTGGCCATTTTTCAAACGTTCCAAGACCTGCACCCCCCCCCCCCCCCTTAAACAGTTATGTCTTCCCATCTGCACAAATAAAGAATTTAATACAAGCCAATGAACAGAGATGGCTGCAAAAGCCTGCTAGAAACACTTCATCATCAGTCTAAACTTTGCTGCTATGCAGAGACCACATAGCATCCCTGCACCTATTGCCGGCATTCGCTCATTAATTAAAACTTGTGCTGCCACTTTGTTAACTTATAGTGATTGAAGTCTTTCATAACAGTGCTGTCAAATATGCTCAGCATGTATCAGCAGAAGTGGCTTGTCATAATCACCACACGGCCCCATCTACCCCTGCGCACGTGCCTTCAAAGCTAAGTCGTTTTATGCTATGATCACATCTGCCATGGTCTTGTCCACAGAGTTTGCGGAAAGCAGTGCTGCTTTGACTGGTCAAGCGTTGGATGCACACACACTTTCGCAGTACTGTCAGTAACGTTGTCGCCATACATGATCGTGTCAAGAACGACCGTGGTTTCGTCCACAGCGGTTGTGGTAACAACTACACACAATGTAGAAGACAGCGTGTGCGCTGGTCGCCCGCTTACTTCTGAATCTTTAAGCATGCTACTCTCGATCAGCCATCGTTTGACGGTTTTGGTACTAAAATTCATATCACACGTCGCGATTAGGAAAAGTGTTCGGAACATTCGAATTTCGGCCAAATGGACACAGTGGAATTTGGCTGGGAAATTTCATGAATTCATATCTGCCGTGGTTTTCCATCACTGAGACTACTGTACGTTTAGATGAACGCCTCCTAAATTCGTTTAAAATAAAATGCGGTGGGTTCGCCAAAAGCCGGGAGCGGACTCACCTGCATTTTTGTCAATGCGGCCAGATCACGCACAGAAATTTCTATTTCCGGGAGATTTTCATGACAACCGTAAAAACGAAAGAAATGGTCACAAACTGGGTATGCATTGGTAACACTTTTAGTGATGTCTAACAACACAAGATTCTCAAAATCATCACCCACTCAACACTTCTGAATTATTTTTCTGCACTAATTATACACTCAAGCCTAGCAGGTCGCAGGATCGAATCCCGGCTGCAACAGCTGCGTTTTCAATGGAGGCGAAAATGCTGTAGGCCCATATGCTCAGATCTAGATGCACGTTACAGAACCCCAGGCGGTCCTAATTTCTGGAGCCCTCCACTACAGCGTGTCTCATAATCACATGGCGGTTTCGGGACGTTAAACCCCACATATCTATCTATCTATACATTCAAGCCTCACTATAACAAAGTCACAACTGCCACGAAATTACTTCGTTATATTTGTTATAAGCTTATTTGTACCACTGCATCTATGAGAGAGCTATTTTTTATTTACTTTGTTATAACCAATAGTTTGTTATCTGCAGGTTCGTCATATTGTAGTTTGAGTGCAGATTGTCAGCTGCAGCATATCATGCAAGTACTGAAGTATGCATGCATATGCCCACCAAAGGAATGTTCACTGCCCACAGCTCTCCACCAAGCTTGCAGTTGATCTGCAGGGCAATTTTCTGTGTGACAGCGCGCAGCTTTTGCTGCTGTCCAATGGTGTTGGAAATGATAACCTGTGATGGCACAGGCATGTCCACACAGCACAGCCGTTTCACTGCACTGTAGCGGTCGTCTCGGGACGTGGGAAAGATGATCACAATGACCTGCACCTGCACCAATGAAACAAGAGCTCGTGTAAAAAGATATGAGAGAACAACAAAGGATACCTTTATCACAGCAAGTCTATCAGAGTATTATGTTAAATTTAAAGCAGTAAATCAACATCCCAGAGAAGCTACCAGGTACATGTTTCTGAACCAAGATACAGCCAGACCTCATTCAACATTTTGCTGTCACTGACATGCTGGTATCTTCTCGCGCACCCATCATATGACAAGCTGACATCAAACAAACCAGACACACAATCGCCACTTACTTGCATATAGGCCGTAGAGGCACTAGACTTATTTATAAAATATGTATACTCAAGCAGGGGCGTAGCCAAAAGGTGGCACACCGTACCCGGGCACTCCCCCCTTCTCCCCCCCCCCACGTAAATGTTTTTTTTTGCCATCGTATAGAGTAAAAAATGACCATTTCAAAGGGTTGCTCTCCCCCCTCCAAAAAAAATTTCTGGCCACGCGTCTGTACTCAAATGACAAATACAACAGCGCCGTGGCAGAGCAAGAGCTCGAGAAAGGCTTTGCGTTCGCCCAAAATGCCAAGAACTCCTAACAAAAAAAATTTCTGGCAACGCGTCTGTACTCAAGTGACAAAGACAACAGCACCGTAGCAGAGCAAGAGCTCGAAAAATGCTTTGCGTTTGCCCAAAATGCCAAGAACTCCTACCAATTTTTTTTTTTTATGGAGTGCTCAAAACTACCTACTGCGTTTCATCACTAGCCCTGTGATCATGAATGCTAACTATGGCGTTGTGAAGGCACACGCTCGGCCAGCGCACACTTAGTTCAAGCATAGCTACACTCTGCCGCAACCGCTGCGGACACAAATGTGGTCATGACAATGCAACCATGCACAACACTGAAAGTATCCACACATTCAGTATCCACAACACTGAAAGTATCCAATGTGCATCCACTCAAACCAATGTGCTTGCCGCAATGCTGCGGACAAAACCGCATCGATCCGATCAGATAGCCACGACGCAGTTCTGAAGGCAAGCGTACGAGGAGTGTGCACAGATTGAAAATGAAACTACCTTTTTGCAGCAACGGCAGTGCAGGAAGTCGCAGTCGCTATCGTTGCATTAATCGACAGCGAACACACTTTAAGGTAGGCAGCTAGCTCAGCCAAAGATTACAGACCATAAAGCCATATAACAGCATGAAGCAGTACGGCTTTCTTGTCATTCGCTTATGGCTATGGTAGTGCAAAGCTTTGACACTTCCGTTTTCAGTTGACCTCAAGAGAAGCTTATGCACATGATTGTGACAGTCCAAGAGTCTTCTGAATATCTTATTTTCTCTGCATCCGGCCTGTTCGACAGCAAACAGCGGAAGAGAGAAAAAATGTAGCTGCGTATTATTGCTAGGCGGCCTTCCTTGCATCACTGTTAAGGCGTGCCATGAAGCCAACTTGCACAACAAAATTTTTTATAACCAGTGGGTCTACCAATTTGCTTTTTCGAAACTCCCCGACTTTTCCCGGTTTTCCCTGATGATTTAAAGCAAATTTCAAGACCATCACATCTGCTTGGAAAACTCTGTGCACAGGAAAGAGACCTTCGAGTGGGAAAAAAAAATTAGACACTCCAATAAAATATGCAAATAAATGTACTACAAGTGCTCAGAATGCTCCGAGCACATGTGGTAAGCATGAAAAATTATGTATATCTGGCCAAAATGAAAACTCCAAGTCAGAGAGTAAGCAACTTGGCAGTTTATTGTTTGGAAGAACCAAACAGCAAACACACAAGTTAAAATTAACCACAGCTAAAAGTTTGAAGGAGTCCACGACAGTTCTACAATGCAGCCAAAGCTGCTAGAAAATGTAGAAGTGGCATCATCTCATGGCATCTGTGTAAAAGAAGGACGCCAGAGCCTGGCCTGTTCCGCCATTGGAATATATTCTAGTTGACTATAATGGTTATAGCCAAGGCCGCTTATGATGTAGATTGAATTAGATTGACAAGTATTTAGTCACTTTACTATTCAAGGCTGTGCATTGGATCTAATGCAACCTGGAATCATACTTTTGGTTGATTCAAACAAAATTAAATTTTACCGTTGGCCCTCTATCCATTAAATGTATTTAAAAGCCTCTTAATTCAAACCCCATCATTCGATTAATTCATACATTTTGTTGGTCCACACTAAAAAATATTTGCTGCTTTCCCACTACTATTTAAAACTTTGTGTGCTTATTTAATCCTAACAGTCTAAAAATGAAAAATAAGCACATGAGGCCTTCGAGCAAAAAAGGCTTTGCAAGTAAACAAATGTTTGAAACGAAGCACACGCATAGTAAACCGTGATGTTCCTCAACTGGGAAAGAGAGCTTTGTGCTGAAGGCACATGCAATGAAGCAGTTGGCAATTCAACATTTCTTTAAAAGGTCTAATCAGCAGTAAATGGCCAATAAGCTTGTCGACTTTACACCTTTGCTTTCTGTTTCCTGCGTGCAGTTAGGAATTAAAACAGCTAAAAAACACCTTGAGCTACTATCCCTCGGCCGTGGTGACGTGTATAGCGTAGTTTTGCAGTTCTTGTGCATCTGATGGCACCAGCAGGGTGCATAGCGACCACGAAGAAAAAAATTCGAGGGTTCTTAAGGACTTTCAAGGACCCAACTAAGGATTTTCAAGGACTTGAGAAATAACATTTTTCTAAGACCGTGAAAAAACAACACTTTTTTACAGCATGGAAGCACATATTTTACTGTAAGGAAGAAAATGCAAGCACAATTTTCATATATGCTGGTTTCATTGCACTGTTTTCTGCTGATTTCAACATCCATTTTGCTGATTCACCTCACAATCGTACTGCACACACATACACACAAAAGGGGACTAGGTTTCATACCACTGTTTCCTGCTGATGTCAACATCCCTTTTGCTGATTCGCCTCAGTATCTAGGACGTAATGCACACATACACACAAAAGGGGCCTATTTTCAAACAGTGGACTCGAGATATTAAGCACCCGAAGCTTCCCTTCAGGTTTTAAGTTCCAGAAGCTTCCCCTTCAGGCTCTCATCCATGTCTGCAAGTTCCAGGGACTTCTCGTTTGCAGTTTTTCTTAAACTGTTGGACTTCACAATCAAAGTGATGTCGCTTGTGGCTTCCGCCCGCAGAGCGTACTTCTCGGCACAGGCTGTTAAGTCAGCGATTGTTGCTTCCAGCCTCCTCTTCTTTTGTCTTGATGCTCTCTATCTCTTCTTCAATGTGGCTTCTCTTTGATGCCTTTGTCTGCTCCATCACTTGTTTTTTCGTATCCTCCAAGTAGGCCCGATAACGGTTGTGTGGGGCTGCGACATACTTTCGCAACTCCTTCGTTATGGCAACGTTCAGTATGCCACCAGCCTGGCTTACAGCATCACAAACGATTCGCTGTGACACATACAAGATGTCCTTAAGGTTTTCGACAGAGACCTGGCGGTTGACGCTGAAGCCTCTTTCAACAGTTGCCTGCCCGTGGCTCAAGATGAGAAGAAGCCGGATAACCTTCCACAAGTGCATGTAGGATGAGTCACCCTTTAACAACTCAAGGTAGAACTCGTCCAGGCCAAGAGTGTGTTTGTCAAACTGCCGCAGGTTGTGTTTCTTTTCTTGCAGAAGTTCTGTGTATTCCCCAAGGACAAAATCGCGCTCATGCTCACCCAATCCACCAACTGCATAAGTGCATCTAGGACCTTTCTGAAGCCTGCAAGGCAGTCATCTGGCTTTGAGGCCATATGACGGGGATCAAGAGATGACAGGTTCCTAACCAGATGGTATGTCAGTGGGCTTTTCTCCAGAATCTTCTTGGTTGTGCTTACAAGGAACTGTTTGCATTCCATCCTAAAGGCAAATACATCTTTAGAGCTCACCTTCGCGGCTTTGAGTACTTGTTCAGCAGCGTGCCCAATATCAACTTTCTCTGATGATACATGGTTATTTGGGTCTGCGACGTCCATCTTCAGCATGCCGACAACTCCTGTGGAAACGGACAGCACCGAGCACTTCACGAATCTCGCAAGAAGCTTCCTCACGAGGCACTCGAGATCTCTTTTCAAAAAGAACACCAGTGGTTTGTCCAGCTGATATTCAGTGAGGAATGGTTTTAGAATCATTGCGATGCCCAGAGCAAGGTTTGGCCAACAGCAGTGGGTCCTGGCAAAAGTCGCTGAGCTGGATGAACGATGCACGCTTTGGCAAGTTCACCTCTTTCTATTTTGCACATGCGACGTACTTTTGCACGTCACCCCAGAGGGTTATGGCACGTTCAATGACGGGAACATTTTCTACCCAGCGATGAGAAGCGAAGTTGAGAGGAAATGTTACTTGGCCTGTCACAGTAGAGAAGTCTTCCCGTCGCGCTGGCGCATCATGAAAAATGGCACTGAGGCTTGAAAGGAGATTCTCTAGGCCCCACTTGCTGGCAACAATGCCCGTCCTGTACGCGTTATGTATGGTATGAAGTCCGCAAATGCTCAGATCCAAACACTGAACTTGATGGTTCTGCTGCAGGTATTCCTGCATTCCTCTAAAACACTTCAGGTTTACATTGGAGCCATCCATTGACAGCTGAACAGCTCTCGCCAGCGGCAAATCTTCCAGGGCACCCAGAAGCTTCTCTTGAAGGTCTTCGGCAGTTGAATGTCCCATGAACACCGACGTATAAAACCTCGTGGTCACCCACTCGGGCATTATGCTCCAGTAGCGCACATGAATGTCCATTTGTTTCCTCTGCAGGTAGTCGTTCAAAGACTCGTCAAACAGAACGGTGTAACCGCCCCACTGCTCCAATTCGCGTTGCAGGCACGAGAGAAAAAACGGTCTCAGACCATGGCACACCACGTATGCAGATTTCCTCTCACTGCAGGAAAATGCCTTAGCGATTTTACTGTCTGGGAACATTTTCTTGAAAAGGTCCCCCGTATGTGCGGACGATTTGTAGGAGTAGTGCGCCGTGACCATTTTCAGGGTCCACAGTATCTCCGCGTCGACCAC